ATGGCTCTATGAGGAGAGAGAATCGAGGGGTGTGAAACTTCCCTTACAATGAAACCTGGGTCTCAAGCGGGGCTTCAACACCCTTCAATGATCAGTTCCAGCTTTGACCTCTGAACTGTGAATGCCCCACACACACACACACATACACACACACACACACACACACACACACACACACACACACACACACACACACACACACACACACACACACACACACACACACACACACAGCTGTTGAGTGTTTATTCTGGGAATATTTAAGGGAGATTCCTTAAACATTTAACACCATCAAAGATCTAAATCCATGGGGAATTTCCCTCATTCACCACCCGCTGGACTCTAGACAGCACAGGTGCTATTACCATTGACTTTATGGCCAAACACCAAGGTCAAGTGTTGTTTTGGCTGTTTGTGGGAATATGCAGCTGCTTGAGGAGGCTGAGCTCAGATCAGACAGCCAAGGACTCACAGGCAGGCTCACAGAGGTAACAGTTCACACAGTGTAAAGCCCTACAACAAGAATAAGTCACCTTGACATGTCATTTCCAATGTCATGCACCTTAGTCTTACTGCCAAGATGCACAGTGGCACACTGATTAGAGGTGAAAGGTCAGCTTCACACCAGCAGCCTCAGTTTCAATTATAGATAGATTTCAGACTTTTCCATATTTTTTCTTCTCTTATTTTTTCTTCCCCAACAAAACATACATGCTTTGTGGCAATTATTAAGACTGGAGAAAAAACTGTGCAAGTTGATTACAAATTGATTAATCCTTTCAGTCATTTTTCATGCGAAAAAGTCCAAACATTCTGGTTCCAGCTTCTCAGGTGTGAGGATTTGCTGCTGTTTATTATGTTAAATCATTGTAAACTGAATTTCTTTTTGAATCCTTGGTCAGACAAAACTTCACTTTGGGCTCTGTGAAACTGTAATAAACATTTTTAACATTTCTTGACATTTTAGTAACTAAATATTTACCAGAATATACTTCCAAGCATAGTGGATGTTAAGGGTTGATACCAACATTTACATTTGAAAGTTAAAGATTAATAAATGAATTCATTAATAATAAAAAAAAACATATCACAATAATTCAGCCAATAGATTTTTTCTGAATACATGACATACACATGAACACTTTTTATATGAATTTTTATATAAATTCCCTCAATTTGTTTATTAAAGATTTAAAAAATAATGCAAAACAACCCAAGGACTTGTGGAATACTCCCAAGACCTCTTAAACCCCTCCAGGATCCCTAGAATTTGAACAACTCATAGAACCACCTGAATCAACCCTAAAACACTCCTAACATTGCATGAAACCTGCTAAAGGTCTCTGGAACCTCCTTAAAAACACCTGAAACCTCCTTAAGAACAAGACAAACCCCTTCGAGCACCATCCTGACGGATGACTAAAAACCCACTGGGGCCCCCTGGAGGCCCTCAAGCCTGCCTGAATTTGGGCTTGTCACTACCGTGAGAGGCAGTTTCACTGAGCGAACACTGGTAAATGTAACAGAGCTGGGTAACTAGGCTGAGCAGAGGCCACTGAGATGGCGGTGGGGGAATTGCAGTGTTGTTCTCCAAGACTGAACTCTCAGCCCTTTTGTACTCGCTCTCTCCAGCAGCCGGGCTTGAATAGCTCTAAAGTGACACCTCCATGCTGCTTTAAAAGCTAAGTAGCACAAAGGTTGAACAAGGAACTGAGAGACATGTTCACTTAGTCGACATCTGGGCTGAAAAAAACATAACACTCCACACTCTCCATGGCTCCCACTTGATGGCCACACAATGTACTTGTCCTTGTGTGTGTGAGTGTATGTGTGTGTGTGTTCAGTCGCGCAGCATGTGGGCATTTGCACAAATGCATTTGCTATATAATTGATTAATACTGGCCCGCGCTTGATTTCGGCTTCAAAATGCTCATTGAAAACATATTGCTTTTTATTCTTATGAGCTAATTTAGAGGTCTGTGGACTGAAGAGGGGGTGTGGTGAGATGGGGGTCAGAGAGTGGGGGGTTCACACTGTGTGAACTGTGCTGTAGTGATCTCAGTGGGACTTTCTTTCCTCCCCACCGTGCAGACTGCTTGACACTGCAGGCCCCATTTGTGCTGTTTGATAATAACACTTTAATGTGGCTGCTATGACCATTGCCAGTGCAACCATTGCATCTGTTTCTCCCAGGGGAGACAGGAGGGAGAAGAGTTGGGGGGTGGTAGTGGTGGCGGGAGCCAGCAACCAGCAGAGAGCTCACTGCCTTATTTCACATAATGCTGCACCCAGGCCCAAGCGACTGATTTTATATCTATGACAACATGAAATCTAATGAATCCTCTAAAGAGAAAGTGTCATTACAGCAGCAACTGATAATACAACAATTTTTAGAAAAATAATGTTAGAGCTGTGTTAAATTTGTATAGGATAAACAATGTTAAAATAAATATAGAACATCAATAAAAACAAAAATAACATTTTAAACAGCACCACTGTTTATGCTAATAAATTAGACACATTTTCAGTAAAAGCTCAAACAGCTGTTTTTTAATTTCAGCACTGAAATATGGTTCTTCTGTCACAATATTATCGAAAACCAGGACTTCATATCTAACTTGTTCATTAATTAGGGGAATAGGGGAAACAGCAATATGGCATGATACATACAAAATTACATGAAAACGCTTAAATACAGTTTGATCACAGATCACAGTATTATAAAGATGTGTAGAGAAAAGTATTTAACAATGAGGCGAAATTAACGCAACAACTTTTAACATTTAATCCATATGAACTGCTCTGGATTAAATGTATAGAAATTCCATTAAAATAATGTATGAATACAAATCATGATAATCCCACGTAGACTTCTTTTGTCCAGGAACAATAAGCTAATTGAAGTTGATTAAATAGTGGACCCGTAGGTAATGGTCCCGCTCAGCCTCATGTACTGTAGCAGTCTACCTGAGCTGTACGGTTATCGGGGTCAAGGCGCGGCTCTCAGACAAGAGGCTTAAGTAGAGACAGGAGCCTTTAACACGAAATAAAACCATCAAAGTTCAGCTCTAATCCCCGCTGCTGTGGACTGATTATTAACGGGCTGCACAATAAACTCGGTTTACGCTGGGCGGGATGGCACCGAGCGTTCAACTCAACAACACGGCGAACAGGATTTACTTGGAGAGCCGACTGGATTTTTTTATCCCCAGTGCGCTGTATCCATTTCAAAAACACACATTTCTCTCGAGAGCGGGAATTTTACAATAAATTCCCGCTTGTATTTAACGTCTATAAATGACATACATTTAAAAGACAGCACAGGGAAATCAGGGGAAATATTTCAGGGAGAAGAAGAGAGGCCAGAAAAATTTGGACTCCACAGGCACAAAATGTGACAAGAAGAGAATCGTGTCAAAAAGAAGTCAGACAATACAACTTCGGCTTTAGTTTTCAATTTCAAAAGTCCTATTTAAAATGTACTCTTCCATTTTAAATATATTATCAGCTTCTTATTAGTCCCGTCATGGCTCATAAAGCAAATTGGTTCTTTGGATATTTAAAAGGAAAAGAGTGTTTAAATACTTTCAGCACCTTGGAGAGTTCCACATCCACCACCTGTGTGTGTTAGCTTTCAGATAAAGGAAGAAGCCACTCACATTTACACACTAAACCCAGTGCGGATAGAAAAGGTTTACACATATTTATAGTATGGGGAAAATACATTGAGGTTATTGAATTGGATAGCCTATTGTAATGCGCGTGTAATATATTTTTCATCAAAGCTTAGGCTATATTTATTTTCATATGTAACACACTTCAAATTTTAAAGTGATAACACCTGTTGACAGATAGCTGCAGTCCATTAGCTGAGATTCCTAACAAATAGAAATAGATTATTAGAATATCTAACCTGTGTATATGAAGAATTAAATAAAATAAAGCAATGCAGTAATGGATCTGCCAGGTGGATGTTTAATTACAGAAAATGGAGGATTTAGACGTTCTCTGTTTCAGGCCTCTTATTTCATCTCATCTGTCGATTTAAAAAAGTGGAATGAAAATTTAAAAAGCTGACAAGAATCATTGTCCGTCTTTTTTTTCTTTTTTTCTATTGGTTTATGTCGGAAACTGAGAGCGTAAAGTAAAACTGCTTTTTCGTTGTGTCAAAATAAGGCGCAGTGAACCATCACCCGCCTGTTTCAGTTTAAAAACTATATTTTTAAACTACTTAAACTGAAGTGTGTATGAATCAACATCTGCTCGGCTACATGCATGAAATAAAGTTCATTATGGTTAATTTACTCGCGGATCGTAACTGTTATTTTCCTGGCTGATTCATGTTAAACAACCTGAACTACACTGAAAACAGCACATTTACCAGGACTTATATTTCTTTGACATGACGTACCTGGATCCCTGCCTAACCTGCTGTAGAGCGTGTGCTCTGACAGTGCAGGCAGCTTGGCTGTCGACGTGGAGTTTTGGTTTGTTAGGGCGCCCCCGTGAGACCATTTCACTGCACGTGCCGCTTAAATATCGCCGTTTTAGGCACTTGATTTCTTTAGTATTCAGACAACAACCCCTAAATATTGTAAAAGATTTTATCTTTATGACAGGAGGCATTCTGGCCCTTCCCTCGTGCGTGACAGCATGATTTCTTCAGTAATGGTAAGTAACTGTATTTTACGCACAGTGGTGTTGCGCATAGGAGAAAGCTCACCTGCTGCAGGTTTCACGGTCGAACAATTACGAAAAACGTGTAGATAAAGTTTGAATTCTTCCTTTACACACTTGACCGTTCAGCCACTGTGCCACCACCCAGTGAAATAGCCACACAGCCATGGTGTAAATGGGTCTGGAATACTGGTCAAACGAGTAAAGTACTCTCACTGTGAGTAAATAATAACGTTTACGGCTTTCAGGATTTCTATCCGAACAGTATGAAGTGGAGAAAAGTTCAACTAGAAAAAAAGACTGAGCGGGAGAATCAAACTCACCAGGCAAAGCACAGGCGTCAGGAGGAACACGGCGCACCAACACGTCACCTGCATCCTCCCGGAACTCAAACTTCCACTAATTTCCCTCGGCTGGTAGTTGCAGCTTTGCGGACCATAAATCCACCTGGTATCTACCTCACAGCACGGCCGAGCCCGTCAGCAGCCCAGGCAAAAAGAACACGATGCACCCCATGACCGCAGAACAAAGCTGATAGTTGGAGACAGGGGAACAGGACGGAGGCTGCTGCTGCTGCTCCGGGTGGGGGTGGTGTTAGGGGGTGTGGGGGCAACAAAGCGGTTACTTGAGAGTTAATCCAGGTAGAGAGAACTGCAGGGTCATAGCTGTGGGTAGGTTCAAGTCCCGATTGTCTGATAGCTGGCGCACGCAGCGGTCGTAGCGCTCCGATCTGAAGGGAACGGCGGGGCTTTCCGCTTTATAACGAGCGCCTACAACTCAACCAGGGAGACTCTCGCTCTAGGGGGGGAGGGACGAGAAGTGTGTGTGTGTGTGTGTGTGTGTGTGTGTGTGTGTGTGTGTGTGTGTGTGCGCGCGCGCGTGCGTGCGTGCGTGCGTGCGTGTGTGTGAAAAAAGGCAGGAAAAGGCGAATAAAACGGGTGGAGATTGTTAGAGGATGCAAAAAAAAAATTTCTCTCTTTCTCCCCTTTTTTCTTAAACAGACCCACTTGGAGAAACGGCGTTTCACCTTGGCTGCTGCTTGCTTCTCGTGCGGTTTATGAAGATGAATGAGCTTACATTCAAACCCCCAAGTACCAACCTCCTCCATCCAGCCCCAAATCAGAAACAAATTCTGAGCAGATACAGCACATGAGGTCATTCCAATATATTCATCATCACTGTCAGCAATCAACTGTGTTGCTGTCTACATGGGAAATGCTGTATGGATAATTGCTAATAGCCAATAACAATGATAATCCCTAACCTTTAGTGAACATCCATTAATGTGCCATGTCATTTTCATGCAAACATGCCAACACCTGGAGAGACACTTCTGTTCCACTTAAACTGCCATCAACTATAATACAGTTGATGGCATTTACTCTACATTCATTCAGTTACCATCTTTAGTTCTGCATTTGCACAAGGTATTCACAGGATTCAACACATGTACATACTGGACAAAACTGGAAAGACAAGACCTGGAGAATGTGTAGCTACTTGCATATAATTTGTGCACAAGAGCAAAGGTAATGTCATGTAAATAAGTCATTCAGAAGAGCGGAACAGCTCCAGCATTTTGAAACGGAAACCTACAGTATATATGATGTTTCTAGTGTTAGTATAGCAACAGCATATAAAAAGACTTCGAATTAATGTAAAGAGATATAAAAGCTGCTAATTTTCTTCTGTTTTTCTTCTGAGTAGCCTTGAGCATGTTTCCTCTTCCCAACAACTGAAAAACATATAATGTCAAACAGAACTCTGGATCCTGGTCTGGTTTTATACAGAGAAAGTTTACAGTGACTCGAGCCCCTATGTTTTATTTACTTACACCAAAATCACCATCTTCCCGAGTGCTTTTGTTGCCTAAACCTAGGACAGGACTGTGGATTTCAGACAGGGTCAGCTAACCCAGTGCAAACCAACACTGGATTACTGCCTTTGATTTTGCTGCATATTAACCAATTTGTGATTTTTTAATTGAATATCTGTTTCTTTAAGGATATGTACCATGTAAACTACACATTAGAGGTAATAAAGCTAGATTTTGACACAAGGTCCCTCCATAAAACAGCCTCATGATAGGTTCTGAGTTATGGATTAGCCCACCTTATCATTTCAGTTTTTTATTTTGTTTTACCAGACAAAAGTGTAGTAAATCAAATCACCACATAGTAATTGCCACAAAGGCGTGTGGAGAGTTCGGGGCCCCTGGACAGTCGCCTGCTTTATTGATCCATGCTTAGAGGGGATTTTTTTAGAGAGGACATGACAGCGGAGTCATGTAACATCATCATCATATTTATTAGTTGTAATGTAATGGCACCTGAGTGTGTGTGTGTGTGTGTGTGTGTGTGTGTGTGTGTGTGTGTTTGTGTGTGTGTGTGTGTGTGTGTGTGTGTGTGTGTGTGTGCCTCAGCAGAGGCAAGACAAGAAGACTGAAGTCTGCTCAGATGCTGAGTGTGTGTTTCTGGGTTGGAGATAGATAGGATTCTTTTTGTCAGGGAACAGAAGGAGCAGGGAGGTGAGCAGAAGAGAAAAGACGGGGGGGTGGCTGTGCTTTAATAAATCCCCAGCAGTCTCATTGCTACAACATTGCAGTGTTCTGGCATTGTCGCCATAACTCAGCCAGCAGGGCTGATGGGATCCTGCTCTGAATGGCCCAGATAGCCTTCACAGGCCCAGCATGGCATGCAGTGGCAGAGGAGGTGGATATAAATCAGAGGGGGTCAGCCGACTACCATTGTGGCTGTAATGAAACACAGTCTGCTCTACAGTAAGGTAAAGGGCCCATAATTCAGGATTAGCTCAATATTTTTTGAAGGTTCCAGTAGGGCCAGTTTGCAGAAGTTGAACTGGGAGACTCCAGGCTGCAGGTATGCCTGAAATGTCTGAGTCATCCAGGCAGAGTCCAGTGGGGTCGATATTTGGAGCAACCCACCCCAGTAGAGATTATGTTTAAATGGACAATTCTGTACCTCATGATTCATGTCCAGTGTAAATGTGTGAAAGCAGGAAGTAGTGTGCCTGTTATGTAGAGAGGGATGTAGAGGCTGGGGTGGTGAATGTGTGTAGGAGACCAAAGTTCAAAGTTCACAGACCTGCTGTGTGTTTTTTTCTTCTTACCTGTAGCCACAATCTCTGTTTTTGACATTCATGGATATTATAGAAAACAAGAATTTACAAAAAAAAAGGTATTTATTTTGAAGACATCAATGAACATAATCTAGGATTTTGCTGAATCTTGTAATGGGTGCATGTGAAGCCTTCAACCATAACCTTAACTATACTGAGGTTACCATTTAGAAAGAGAGAATTTCAACAGTTGTCACTAAATGCAGTCCATGGTTTTTCAGAATGTTATGTTGCCTGTTTGTTCTGATTACATACTCTGTAATCAATGGTCTTTGAAACTATACCACAGGTGTTTTGTAGATGAATGATTGTGTCCCACAATAATTATTTAAAATTCTTTCTTTTTACAGTAAATTTGAATGGCCACTACGGTAAAAGAGTGTGGAGATGACAAAATAAACTACATTTAAGGTATGTTTTTTGTTAGGCAACTAAAACTTAGGTTTAAGGTTGGACTTTTCGTTCTTTTGTTCTTTTGTACCAGTCATTGACTGCATCCTTTCATTTTACTATGAACAAACTTGAAACGGAACGCTTGCACATTAGAGACAGTAATGATGTACTGACACAATTCTAACAAATTTTTAAGTTTGAGGTTTCTGAAAGTACATTTCCATCATGAAATTAATGTAAACTACGACCACCAGGCCACCAGGGATGAACCAATTGATTCAGTAAAATCACAGTAAATCAAAAACATTTTGCCTCAAAACAATGTGAAATATTAATGACCAGTATAGCTAAAAATCATTTCATTTCAGTTGTCAATGAGGTTCATGCAGGAAGCAGACGAAGTGACTGACATGTATTGTCTCTATAACCAGTTCTTAATTTGATTTCATTATTATTTCATTTCAGATTCACATTTCATTAGCCTGATTATAAAACTGAACTTTGGTTTTACCTCATTTTCTAGTCTGATGATGTATTTATTTTAGTGATCATGCATGCTTATATTTTGTTTTGTTTTATTCTATCTGATTTGACGTATCAACATGGAAGGTCGGAACAGTTCAGGTTCTTTCATGACAGCAGACGAAATATGTTGAAAAAGAGTTGTTATATCTATCAGTCAATTTACAATAACTTGTATGTGAGATGTGTCCATCTCATTCATGCTTGCTATCACTTTTGTGGTAATTTTTCTCATGCTTTTTGTCATGAATGTGGCAGAAGATGACACCCTAAATCTTCATTTAGCTGATTGTTTCTTCATCTGGTAGAAAGCGTCACTGAGCACAACACCAGAGATTTTCCTATTGCTCCCTAAATTGGAGATGTGGTCTGGAACCAGGCTATTTCTTAATGATCTAGCTATTTATGTGCTATTTCATTTCATTATTTTGTTAGATTGAAACATTTACCTTTGTAACTTTGATAGCCTTTTGAATCATACATATTCAGATAATGTCTTATTATACATAAGACATTATCTGAATATGTGAATATTAACCACTTTAGCATCCAACTTTGCTACACTAATGCTTTCTTTTTTCAATATGTTTGATTGGCCACTAACTACAATTGTGGAGATGGCAAAAAAACTGAACTTAATACATGGTTTTTATTAGCCAACTTTAACAAAACTTAGGTTTAAGGTTAGACTATTTTTTTATATAAAAGTAACATCAAAAGTATTATCAGCTGCTGGATTGTGACATAAAAGGCACACTGCTTCATAAGGTGTGTTTATCCAATATGAACATAATTCCAAGGCTAACTATATTGTCTTTGGTGCTGCATGAGGACTGTGAGAAGTTAGTGGAATGGGGTAAATAGTCAAGTTCATAATACAGATTACTTACACAAAACTAACAACACTGCTGCATTAAATTGAATGCAGTGAAACCTCTCATCTTGCTTGTGTCATTAGGGATGTATGTCTTACTGCATTTCAAGGGCATCAGTGAAGCACAGAGAGTTAGAACTGAGCTGCTGAGTTGTGTCAGTGTCACAGGATGAAGACTATTCACAAGAGTGATGTGAACACAGCTGGGACCTGGCGACCATTACAAAAAGGGGAGAATGAGAATGTTTCTTAGTTCTCAATCAAACACCTGCTCTCCTTCCGCTGTTCAGCAGCTTGTCTCTTATTGATAGAATATAATAAGGAGGTCAAGTTGCTAATTTTCCAAGCACACCTTTTGGTGCCCATTCAGTGCTGGGGGAGAAAATTACAGGGTAGACTCTTCCTAATAGCTTACCATTGGGCTGCAAAGAGGAGGGGCAAGCGATAAAGACAAGAGAGAGGAAGAGGATGATTGCTCAGCTGAGTGACGATGGCATCCAGTGGCATGAATATGTTTGGCTGGCTTGGCTCCATCACCAATTGTGAGGGCAGATGTTGCTGCGGGCCCTCAGGCGTGGCTGTGACGCAATAGCAGCAGGTTTGCCATGGCTGCTGCCCAGCCAGCTGCCATCTTGAGTGTCACTACACATCCAGCAGCAAGGGATAGGAGTCAAACTGGGCTTGACCAGAAGGGCCGAGGGCACGCTTCACGCCATGTGTGGTGACAAAAGGCAGTCACAGTTGATGCTGCCAGTGCTTTTCAGGAGGATGTGGAGGGTGGGTGGGCTGAGGGGGAGCTGACAGAGACAAATGA